ACTTTTCAAATTATTTTCTTTATTTTCAAACAGGAGCATAAGGGAGGGAAATGTGTCTTGCCTTTGAATCCCAATACTTCTCAAGAAAACTCTCAATTAATTAGTTTAGCTTTGAGAAACAGCGGAGGTCAATCCATGAATCCCTACCTTTGTTCTGGGATTTCGCAGTTTGGACACGATCGCTTAGGCCCAATTTTGATACAATACATTAAAACAAATTCACTGTCCGTATAGAAGATGCTATTGCATACAAGAATCCGCGGCAGCAAGTTAAGGCGATTTTTTTATAGCTAAGTCAACTATGGAAACGGTCCTCTGAAATAATTCCGGCTTAACGGGGAAGGAAGTGTTCGCTCTGTTTACAATCTGTAAATTGCAGCTCATTTAGGAGACGTTTTAATAGCATTTTAACGTTTCGCATAGGTGAATAAAGCTTTGATGATAGGACGGTTTGCGCAGGTAGAATTGGGATAATTTTCAGTTCGTGAACAGTGTACAAAGTATAGGCTGGATTGTTGGTGCTGCGTTTGCGTGCTGGCAGGATTATATATATGATAATGAATATATTCTATAGCTTCAGTCATTATTGAAGTTGTAAGTAGCCGTATAAACCTGATAAATAATTGATAAGGAGTCAGTGGGAGAAATAATTTAAATTAAACTTTCCTAACAGGTGTTCTCGCTAAAACAAACGGTATTATAACCCATTTTAATAAAACCGTTTATAGTTTTCACGCTTATTGATTGCGGGAAATGCAGCTGATATAATTTGTTGATAGAAGACTGGTTTATCGCGCACTTTGTCGGCAAAAGGGTACTTTAAGTACCGTCGCTCGGCCTAATGTACTTTAAATTGAAGTTACCGACTTATGGTTTCTTCGCTGTTATTACAACATGCGGGAAGATCACTGTTTGGAAATGAAAATATCAACTCAGGATTAGACAGACTGGCCACAATTTAAACGTAGCTTCAAGTCTTGAAGGAAAAAAGTAAAAGAAATGTATATTCATCCTTTAACCTATAGACGGTCTCTTTTGTTTTATTCGCCCAAGCGTTGGTTTTAACATATCGAAATTTGCCATGGTCTACTGTACCAAAACATACAGTCATCGCTCTTTTAAGACGAAGGCCTTTGGGAACCGGTCATTGGGGATTTAGAGAGATTTCCACCTCCTTAAGAGATAACGATTACAAATTACATATACGTCTGAAAAACAGCAGGGACCGAGTGCTATCAGTAGAGAGGTGTCTTCTCATGGACAGTCAACTGTGTGCAATGACCAAAATTAATACACATTCAAATAATTTTTTGGCACCGCTCAAGCAACATTTATTTATATAAATTTGATTCTGGAACAACTGGGTTAGCATATAGATCGAGCTAGTTTAAACAGAGTCCTGTAAAAGAAAACAACAACAACGAACAAATAAACAGATAAATGGAAAGTCAATTCAAAAAGATAAATATCACACCGATGAAACACAGCGAGACTTGGCACAAGAGAGCTTGAAGTTTCGTTTCGCCTAGGACTTGAATGATCGAAGTGAGTGGCAAGTGAGTTCCTGATCTAATGTTGGAATTTGAGAATGTTCTAAGACCTAATGGTATTATGTAATTTATTCAATGTTTTGATGAGAGCTTTGCTACCTCGAGGCAATCTGTTGGTCGCCATTGCTCAATAATAATAATAAGAAGAAGAAGAAGAAGAAGAAGAAAATAAAAAAACAGGTAGAATCAATTCTCATCAACATGTTATTGCCAAAATATCATAAAAGAGCCGGGCTTTGACTGAAGATTCGAAACGTTTATTGAGTACACGTAATTCTTTCATGTCAGCTTCAAAAACTTTTTAATTTTCTTTTTCCGACCAAACAGATCCTTGCATTTATAATTAAAGTTATATATAGCCTCCTCTTGTGGACGCATGCCGAACAATAGTGTACCGGTTATAAAATCAAGAATATTTAGTTTTTGCTTTACATTTTGCACTGTCTGTAACTGCGTGAATAAGTCGCAGCTAAGCATGGAAGAGGAAGAAGAAAACCTCGTGTTGTCAGATCTAGACAATAGCTCTGAACACAGCAAAAACAATGGAGCAAAGCAGCAAAGGAAGTTTTCACTTAAAGGAGTGAGTACGGAATTTATCCAGCACTAGTAAGATAAATTTTTCTTGGGTGTATAGAGTTATTCCTTATGACCCAGGCCCCAAACTCGTCAAAAGCAGGTAAAAGACTTTTCTGATTGTTCCGTCGCGAAAGAGCGAAATTATAGAGATCTGTTAGAGAGCATCTTTTAAACTTGGATATAAAGTTGTTCGCATTTTGATTAGCAAGCAGGAATCACTCTTTGTCTTGCAAATCCTTAGTTTCATTGATATCAATGGCGCTCTTGCGTAATAGACCTATTCGGCTAACTCAATGTTGTACCCAATTCAAACCCTTTGGGAATTTTTTTGAAACGTTTTGTTTCAGGAATTTCCATATCATTTAAATGTGAATGCCACATTATAATGCAAATGAAATACACAAAGAATCTTATCCCCGGGAGATTCGAATTGGGTACAACATTGAGTTAGCCGAATAGGTCTATGGCAGAAAGTTCAGAAAGTTGAGTTTTTACAGTTTGGGTGTCCTGTAGTGTGCTTGAAGCCAGAACTTCGAGGGTTCTTGTGCCTCTATTAAACAGTTAATCATTAACTGTACCTCAATATAAGTAGTATACTATGTTGTGAGATAAGCCTCGTTAGTGTCTAGCACGGTCTAGCTAGGTCTAGTCTATGACGTCACCTCGGAAAGTAGTGTCTTCCTCCATATATAATGAAGTGGATAGGTTTACTAATGAGCGTTTCTCTACTACAATAGGAACAATAGGCTTGCCTAGACTTGCCCGGGCTCTTTTAACCCTGATTGGATAGTAAACAATCTATTATGTGTTCAACATAAAAGCGCGCTCTCCGTTCAGCATTTTATTCTTGCAATCGCTTTGCTAAGGAAAAAGTATTACTATCACCAATATTTTTTAAAACATTACTCCAAACATACAAGTCGAATCGAGCGCTACACCGCTTCTGACTATTACAGAACTGTTTCCTCCTTTCTATCTCGAGGAAATGAAAAACTATTGAAGTCTTGTCATTTTCACGCACGGTTAATCAGTTAATTATGCGAGTTCGCAAGCCCAAAGTTGAATACAAATTAGCTCTACAGGAAAGACCCAAGGGAGAGAATCTTGACGTATTATTATAAAACAAATAACTTAACAAGGCCAGGATCAATTAAAACACGCGACTCGTAATTGCTAGCAATAAAAAGACAAGAGCGATACCGTTTTAAACAACTTTATTAAGAAACAAGGACAAAAAGAGTCAAATACACAGGAATGGAAATTAATTAATCTTCATCTTCGTTCTCCTCTGTAGAAGGGGAATAGAAATTGGTTTCCAACGTCTTTGCGTTTTTGTGTGTAACTGCTCCGCAATCGTGACACCGAAGAAAGCCCTCGGGAATCTGGTGATCGCATATAGGACAAATCTTGTAGTTATCGTGCCAAAAGCATTTAGGACATTTCATGATCAATGTCCCGTACACATTAGAGTTTTCGCAGTGTTCACAGGGACTTTTGGAGTGAAAGGTGGTGAACGTTTCAGGGTTACTACTTTCTGTTTCCTCACTATCGTTTTCAGTGTCGTTGTCGCTCTCTTGGGTGCCTTCAGTTTCAACGCCATTCTCAGAAGCCACTACCTCCTCCTCCTGATTTTCAATATCCGATGAACTCTCCTCATTATTACTCTCGTTATCGGAAGTATTTTCTACATTTTGGTAGCCTTTTTCCTTTTCCATTAAATCACTTAACAACTTTTTGTTCTTGTTTAAACTTTTATCGATTCCTAACTCTGCAAGTCCATCTAGAAACGTATTCAGAACACGAGGCTTGGTAACCTCATTGTTATGAGGGAGTAACACATACTCAACTAGCTTAGCGATGTTTGTGACGGGAATAGTGCGTTTATTTCGCAGTAATTGTCCGCTGGGGGTCCAGAAAAGAATATCTTTGGACGCAGCCATACTATGCAGCAAATCAGAAGCACGCTTTTCCGGCACTGCTCGGGAAAGATGACTCAAAACATCTTTTATTCTCGGTTCTTCTTTTATTCCTGGTTCTTCATCCTCGCTTTCATCACCAGAACTTTCGCTTTCTTCATGTTCACTCTCGTGATCTTCTTCTTCAACTAAATCTATGTTTCTCTTCATTTTGATGAGTACCCGTGACAGACTTAGCTTCAAATGATCAACCTAGCGATGTGTCACCTCTTTTATAGCATTAGAAATCCTAAGCTTGAAACGACAGGGGCTAATACATCTTCAATAAAACCACTACCCTCTTGAACAAGGACTCGCTTCTTTGTTTTGAAAGGGACATTTGGACTGGCCAGGTTAAGTAAAGCATCCTTATATGGCAGCAATACCCGCTTATTTTCTTCGGAGATAGGAATGTGTCCCATGAGTAAATTGTATAAGACTTGGATTAGTGCATGAAGTTGCTGTGGTGTAGCCGTCTTTAAAAGAAACTGGCGCTGATAAGCAGGGCAAGCAGCTAACAGCTGAAGAAAACCACGATTGTTGTTCACTACACGAGACATTGCTACAAAATGAACTAAGAATGGCAGTTGGTAGTCTTTTATAGAATCTGGTGGAGAGAAAACAATAGAAATGTGGTGGCAGTGGTGGTGGTGGAGGAAAACAACAGAAATGTGGTGGCGGTGGTGGTGGTGGAGGGAAAACAATAGAAATGTGGTGGCGGCGGTGGTGGAGGAAAGAAAACAATAGAAATGTGGTGGCAGTGGTGGTGGTGGAGGAAAACAACAGAAATGTGGTGGCGGTGGTGGTGGTGGAGGGAAAACAATAGAAATGTGGTGG